ATAGGGATTCTTAAGATGCAAGACAAGCACATTGGCTTGCACTCAGTAGATCTTGGGTGACTTCAATATTGGATCACTGCCATGCACTCAACGCAGGGCTTCACTTATGCTTGACCCAGAAACTGCAGTTGGTACAGAATGCAGTAATATCCTTGCTGACGGGAGTGAGATTCAGTCGCCATAAAAAGCGCCTCTGCTCAGAGAGCCATACTGGTTAATGAATTGTTACTGGGCCCAATTCAAGATGTTACAGGGGCGTCAACTCTAGGGGGATCTGCACCCACAAAAATTGTTGTGGGTGCTCAGCACCCACACCGCAGGGCCCCCTACACAACTTCTGGTGCTTTGGGAGGCACCGGAAGTCAGGTTCCACAGTCTCGCGATACCTCAGACAGCATCTCTGAGGCCTTTGTGAGACCTCAGATATGCTTTGCGAGGTCTCAGAACCACTGGAAGTCAGGTTCCATTGCCGAGGGGCGTGTATGACGTCATAACTGTCATTTAATTCTACTCAGTATTGATCCAGAGCAGAACTCCAATGTATAGTTAGCAGAGTAAAAACTTAAACAACGTTGCAGGGTTCCCAAAAAATAGACCAGAGGCAATTGTATTTCATCCAGCAGAGCTTGACTGCTACTGAAGGCAAATGAGCATAATGGTCACAAATCCAACATATTCAGGATTGGCACTGTCCATAAGAAACCCAGTTGCAGCACTTAACTTACAGTAACTTATGATAAGTCTAAACCAGGGGTAGTCAACCTTTTTATACCCACCGCCCACTAATGCATCTTTCTTGATGGTAAAATTTCCTTATTGCCCACCAGTATTCGATGGAAGGAGGATTCAGCTTGTGCCGTAGAACCCCCTGTCGCCCACCTAGAATCCTGAAACGCCCACTAGTGGGTGCAAGGAACCAGATTGACAACCCCTGGTCTAAACCTTAACACTAAGCATACTATGTACAGAACACCACACCAGAAGGAAGGAAGATAGAAAGAGAAAGTAAAACCCAGTCTCCTTCTGGCTTCTTATTACAGTCAGCATGACCTTCACAGAAGAGATAAGAGAACCAGTTTCAGCCAGCTGTACTCAGCTTCTCTGAAGGTATAACCCAAACATCATGAAGCTTCTTTCACACAGAGAAGCTTCCAGAAGCTTCCAGAACCCTCTTGAATTAAGTAGAATAGGAAAGATCTCTACACATCAGATCAATACTTTCTGTACTAAGAAATGCAAACTGACAATAACATCACGTCGCAATGTGACATCACAATGTCCCATATCCTGGGGCCCAAGTTGGCTCCCCTCAGATGTTCTAGTTGATAGCTAGTCCTCCTTTTTTGCAATAGTTTCCAAATTTGATATGTAGCCTTTTCATACCAATTTGGGTTAATGAGATGTGTGCCGTGCCATCTGCATAAAGCAAGCATGGGATCTTCTGTTTCCCAACTGAAGGGGGAAAAGCATGAGATGAAGAGGAAAGCTCCTGGCGGATATAATTTATATAAAGATTGAATGGGGTGGTGACAAGATCATAGCTGTCAACTTTTCCCTTTTCTTGCGAGGAATCCTATTCGGAATAAGGGAATTTTCCTTTTAAAAAGGGAAACGTTGACAGCTATGCAAGATGGAGCCTTGTTTGACACCCTTTACTGTTGGAATTGAATCAGATATAAAACATGTCCTGCCAGGAAGGTCTGCAGTTCAAATCCCTGCAATGGTGTGAGCTCCCATTGCTCTATCCCAGCTCCTGCCAACCTAGCAGTTCGAAAGTATGTCAGTGCAAGGAGATAAATAGATACTGCTGCGGCAGGAAGTTAAACAGCATTTCTGTGTGCTCTGGTTTCTGTCACGGTGTTCCGTTGCACCAGAAGCAGTTTAGTCATGCTGGCCACATGACCTGGAAAGCCGTCTGTGGACAAATGCCAGCTCCCTTGGCCCGAAAGCGCGATGAGCGCTACAACCCTATACTCGCCTTTGAGTGGACTTAACCGTCCAGGAATCCTTTACCTTTTTACCTTTTTACTGTATTGCGATGGCCATTGGCTATGAACAATAAAATCTATTGACTGGCAAGTCAAGATGTTACTATTGGTATACGGTGGTACCTTGGGTTAAAAATTTAATTCATTCCGGAGGGCCGTTCTTAACCTGAGACACCACTTTAGCTAATGGGGCCTCCTGCTGCCACCACACCACCGCTGCACAATTTCTGTTCTCATCCTGAAGCAAAGTTCTTAACCTGAGGTACTATTTCTGGGTTAGCAGAGTCTGTAACCTGAAGCATCTGTAACCCAAGGTACCACTGTATAAATCCTTGGAACAGTTTACTTGTGGGATCTCCTTTCCACGTATGTGTCCATTCAATCGCTTTTGATCTACAGAACTGGCACTGTTACAGGTGCCACATAATACTTGTTCTGCAGTTGTAAGAAATCTTTTCGTGTAGTCTTTGGAACTCCCTGCCTATTGACATTAGGCAGCTGTGTTCCCATGATGCTTTTCTGTGCCTTCTTGAAACTTTTTAAATTTTATTTTAAGGCAACACATATCCAGACACATTTATGTTGATGTGCTTTCATCTTTTTTCCTGATAATTTTAACTATCCTCAAGTGTTTTTAATTGTTCTTAACTATTTTTATTGATTTTTTTTATAAAAAAAAATCTTGGGAACTGCTTAGAGGTTTTAGTATAATTAAACAGTATACATTTTTTATTCAAGAAATAAATTCATAACCAGTGGAGTGTTTTCAACATTAAATAAGTATGTTCCTGCTTGGGCAGCTTTTCCTGGAGAGTTAGCAGGCATTCACACATCTTTAAGAGCAGGCCCACGTGAAACAAATATTTATCTGGGAATAGTCGAGATCTGAGGATAACAGTGCATGTATCAATGTGGTCTGACAGGCTTTTTTCAGAAGAGAGCAGAGTTGGCGAGCCAACCAAAGTTGGTAAATTTGACATACACAAGTGCTGATTTGGGGTGAGTGGGTGCATATTTAAAATATTCACCAGAATTATGAAAATGTACATTCAAAATCACTCCATGATAAATGATTGTTTCATTTACTGCCCATATAATAGAGGTTGTACAGATGTTGATGGATAGCTTATCCAAAGCAAATATCGATCCCATCCCTAATTAAAACTCGAATGTGTAATAGGAGCATTTTAAAACAAACTTCTTTCTCATGCAGGGAAATTTACTGCTATCCGGAGGGCTCACACAAGGCTTATAAACCACTTGATTCCCACTTAAGCTCTCAAAATAAGACATAAAACACTGTGCCAAAGTACTGAATTGCTCACATAATGCATACATATTAACAAATTACTAGCAGGATGCACACAAAATGGCATCGGAGGTTGTAAGATGTTGGGCTCATTTGCAAAGTAGCCAGTTCCTAAGAAATTCCAGGCTGTCCCCCCCCCCCTTTTGGGGGTGGGGAGTAGGATGCTGATGCAAGAAGTTTAGTCCCTCTCAAGAACATTCAGCCGTTGGTTAGAAAGAGACCAAATCTTTGTATTTCTTGCTCTTTAGATTTTGTAAATATATGCAGAAACACCCTGCTGAGTCAATTTACACAGCCATAACTTACTCATTTTTAAAAGAGCTTTTTTACTGGGCCAACACATTGCCCTTTAAAAAATAATAATAAGCAAGCCTAAAGGTTTTCAAGAAAGCATTAACACCTTTGTCAATCAAGCAAACCAAACATGTATTAAAATATTTCATTTTCTCAAATGAGACCATTGTTTTCATTCTATGTTGGTGACAAAATATCAGAAAGCAGGACAATCAACTCCTACTATTTTACTTGATAGTTAACAGTTTACACGTGATGATTATCTGTCACTGACTGCTTGCAATTGCTCCATATGTCAGCTGCTTCTATACTGTCTGCAAGGACAAATTTTTATGTGCAGCATCTCACTGTGGTTAAATTGGGAAATTTCCTCTACGATTGACCATTGCCCTGGACAGTGGGATGAACATATGCGTTTCCATCTGTTTCTGTCTTAATACACCTGAGAGAGCACATTCTAATATATTTTGTCTGGAGCCACTGTGTGAACCTAGGAAGCTGCTTTCCTAGTGAGTCAGAACTTTCATTCAGCTAACTCATCACTGTTTCACAGTAGCTACCAAGCGTTTCAATTTTTTTATTTATACTTTTCAGGTTTATACATTTCACTGATTTTACAATCATTTTGACATTTCAAAACTTGTCTTCCTTCCCCCTCTCTCTGCGGTTCCTTAAATTTATTTTTAATATCTTCTGCATATCCAAATTAACTTAATTCGCTCATTTATCCATCTTCTTTAAATATATACTCTTCTTTTGAAACTGCAGGTTATTACAATAATCCTGCCAATGTTCTTAGATGTTTACAATTTATCTGTAAATATCCAATAAACCATTTCCATTCTTTTATAAAAAGTTTGCTATCTTGATTTCTTATTTTTCCATTAAGTTTCACTATTTTTGCATATCCCATAAGTTTTTGTATCCATTCTTCCTTTGCTGGGATTTCTGCTTCTTCTTTTTTTAAAAAAAGATATTTATTAAGGTTTTTTGAAATATTACAGTGAAAATGAAAAAGAAAAAAGAAAAATACAAAATAAAAACAGTTAAAAACACACATATTTTCTATTACTTATTTTCCTTTAGCTTGTTTCCCGGACCTCCTCGTACCTCCCTTTTTTGTATTCCACTTCAATGTATTGGTTCAGCAAATCCTTACCATTAGATTTTAACCCATTTATAACCCCCCCTTTTTTTTCATATTCTCTTAGAGCATTACAGCTGGAAACTGCTTAATTACTATCCAACATCATTCTATCATTCATTAATTTTACAATATTTCTGTAAATAGTCTTTAAATTTCTTCCAATCTTCTTCCACTGACTCTTCTCCCTGGTCTCGGATTCTGCCAGTCATTTCTGCCAATTCCATATAGTCTGGGATTTCTGCTTCTTTCCACTTTGGAGCAAGTAACATTCTTGCCCTTCACGAATTTGTGTGTCAACCTTGCACTAATATTTTCTGTATCGTTCCAATTTTTTAGTATATGTGCTGCTGAAGCGAGCACAGCTGCCGGGCATTTCAGACCCAGGACTCCGCTACATTAGCAAAGAAACAGTGATGTGAAGGCACTATAAACAGGCAACACCATATGGAACCAGAGAGCATGACATTTTAAAATGTGATTTTCCATAGGGATTTTCTTTTCTTTTGTAATAACCATCTAATTTCTTTTGAAATAAAATCTGTGCTGAAGTCTTCTTCTTCTTCTTTGGTGATGACTCGTAGCCAAGTAAGATTGTCATCCATGAACACAGTCTTAATGGTGTGACTGTAAGCGACTGTGGAGGACAATTCTGGATCCACACATCCTTCCACAGTGGGGACATACGTTTCCGGGAGGGAGTTGATCATGGTGAAGGTTTCCCAAATGTGCCTTCCTCTTAACACGTTTCTCCGTTTCATCCTGAGTTTGAGCGTCTTCAAAGCCCATGACACCTTTGGTAAAGGCTGTTCTCCAATTGGAGTTCTTGCAGGCCAGTGTTTCCCAATTGTCGGTGTTTTTACTACATTTTTTGGGATTTGCCTTCAGAGAGTCTTTAGAACTCTTTTGTTGACCACCAGCATTACGCTTTCCATTTTTAAGTTCGGAATAGAGTAGTTGCCTTGGAAGACAATAATCAGGCATCCACACAACATGACCAGTCCTATGAAGTTGATGTTGAAGAATCATTGCTATGACACTGGTGATCTTTGCTTCTTTCAGTACACAGGCATTTGTTTGCCTGTCTTCCCAAGTGATGTGTAAAAATTTTCAGAGACACTGTTCATGGAGTCTTTTGAGGAGTTAGAGATGGCGTTTATAAGTGGTCCATGTTTCACAAGCATACGGTAAGGTTGGTAGTACAATAGCTTTGTACACAAGCACTTTGGTTTCCCAGTCCTCAAACCAGGGAATACACTTCAATTGTGTTATGTACTAAGTTGAATAGGATCCAAAAGGCAGCAGTCTGATTGGTCCTAGAACAATAGGATTCAGAATGCAGCAGTCTGATTGGTCCTAGAACAATAGGGTCCAGAATGCAGCAGTCTGATTGGTCCACAGGAGCCACCCAATCCAGCTCCAGGTGGAAGTGAATCCGCAACCTGATTGGCCTACAGATGAATCCCGGAATTAGCCAATCACGTGGGGCCCATTGTGTAACTAATGTATATAAAGCAGACATTCTGGGGGAACTTCCATTCCTCCTCACCACTATGAGCTGAATAAAGAGCAAGAAATCCACTCTTGACTCTGAGTATATTTCAAACTGGGAGAGAGCTGCACTCGCAAAGCTTAGTCAACACTGGATTTTGGCATCAGTGTCGGCTCTTGTGCAAAGATAACTGCCCAGGTAGTTTTAATTTTAGAGTTTTGAAATAAAATCTGTGCCGAAGTACTAAAGGAAGCTAATATTTAGCCACAAGAGCTATTCCATAAAGAATTAATGTATGCCTGAGCTGCAGATGCGGTGTTGGTATCAGTGTTCAGTACCATAATAAGAGAACAGAAGAGAAGAAAGGGTTGGGACCTCCAATGACAGACAACAATGGCAATGGCTTCTGGAGTGTCAAGTGTTCAGTGGAATTTCCCAAACATCTCCAGCACAGCAACCATAGGGGACACCTATGCAGGACAATTCATGGTCATTGACTAGGGTTTCTAGTCAATATGTGGTGGACCTGTCCTGAAATATAAAAAAAAATCTGGGACATGGTCTATGAAGAACTGAAGAAAATGTTCAGAGAAACATTTACTAAAAGACCAGAGGCTTTTCTACTGGGCATTATGACAATAAACATCCCTAAAATAAACAAAAGTGTATTTCTTTATGCAAAAACTGCGGCTAGAGTATTAATAGCCAAGTATTGGAAAGGAAACCAGATAGCAACTAAGGTAGAGTGGAAAAGAAATTTTGTGAATATGTTGAATTAGCCAAAATGACAGAAGCAATAAGAAAGCAACTGAGCTCAAGGGTGAAAAATGAATGGGATTGTTTTAAAAATTACATGAGTAAACATGGTTCCCAAATCCCAAACTTGGGTGTACCTGGGGTAAATTTCACAAAATAAAAGTTAATTGGAGGAGATATCCTATACAAAGAAAAGGTTGAAGGTATACTGGAACACAGTACAAAGAAAAGGAAATTAAGAGAGACAAGATGAAGCTGTTAAGAGGTAGAGGGAAATTAAGCATGATAGAGAAATAGATTATTATGAATATGTATAGAAAGAGAAAATAGATTATGTATGTAATTGTAAAGGAAAAAGACGCTGTAAGATCTGTAAATTTTTAAATTGCAATAAAAATTTAATAATAATTTTTAAAAATTCATGGTCATTGACTTCAACCCATACCTTGTTATTGTGCTCCAGCTCCTAGCTTTGAGCCCAAACCAGTGATGAGGGAAAACTTACCTCCAGTTGCTCAGAAGCTTGGACCAGATGAGGACAGAGACTTGGAAGTCCCACATGAACAGTCCCAGATTGTGACACCAACAATGAACTTACATAAGCACATTACAAACAAAAAATGTTCCTAATGTCATGAACTGTCTTGAAATAGGACAAGCACATAATGTGGAGTTTGGGAAGATTTTCTAAGAGTACTATTGCATTTCTGATTTGCTCTATGATCTTGGAAAGAATATGAATCTCTGCATTTCTTTTTAACTAGCTGCCAAAGCTGCCTCAGGCAATGTGCTGTCAAAGCTAGATCATATTGTTAAACTGCTATATTCAAGCAGAATTTCTTCAAAAGCAATGAATAGCACAGGTGAGATTTGCACCGTAGTTGTTCATTCTTATTTGATAGTCATCATATCACACACTTTGTAGATATGACTTCTGCCTAAGAGCGATAGTGTTTTGAAAGCTTCAGGTTGTATCCAGCATTAGTCATACTCAGAGAAGGCCCATTGAAATATATGTGGCTAACTTAGGCCAATTAAATTCAATGGGTCTACTCTGAGTGAACTTTAGTGGGTTACATTTTTTCCTATTTTTTCAGAGCCCAGGCCAGTTTAGATACATTTGACGTGTGACAATATCAGAACTGTAAAATGGTAAAGTACTCCAACTAAGGCAATTCCATAATTTCATTCACAGAGCAAGCTCTCGCAAAATTCATAGACTTTTAAAAGTGTGTGCTAGAACTAGCTTATACTTAAAAGCCCTCAGCCATTGTTGATGACTGGATATGGTCATGGATCTTAATGAAGTTGACAATAAAATATGGGGAATTTATTGCACATAAACACATCATCAAGCATGACGTGAATCAATACTTTCAAGACAGCAATACAATATGAATGCTTGAGTATGCTCCCAGCTTAAGTCCTTACACGGTCAAGTTCTTGACATAATGTGACAATAGGACACATGACAGATTAAAAACAAGAGAATTAAGTACACATCAGATTACGCTATCATAACCAGTACATCAGGCAGGACATTCTGAAACGGATCTCAGCTGCCACATTTCGGTATCTTTACCATTACATTGTGAAGTTGCAGAGTTGCATGTCGAGGTCCCCAATACACCCCCCAAATAAAACATAAATGACTCTTGATTTTAGTTTAAGGTTTTTGGCATAATTTTGGCCACAACTTTATTAAAATACAAAAAATGTGAGTGGTTGCTTAGGCATTGGTTGCGACTATCTGTCCCTGCCCATTCGCACACCTGTGAAAGTCAGAAAGGGAAAACATTTTGGGGAGAAAGATGGAGCTGGTTACTATGCCCACACCTCTCCCCAAATGCTCCCAGGAGTTCTTGTGCGGCCCTAGCCCCTTGACAGGGGTTTGGACAAAAGCATGGTGAGCCCCTGGATTCCTTTAACGGAATTCCCTTTCCGCAGCAACCATGGAGGGGCAGGCACAGCCAATCCATGCCCTACCACCAACCAATTAATAAAACCAATGCCTAACCGCAACCTTAAAAGTTGTGACGATTTGCTACGCAGTAGGCAAAAACCAAATGGCACCAGCCAATCAGCCAAATGGACAAAATTCCTACCAGGCCCCTGCCCCAAAAGCAGACAACCCCATGACAGGCATAGCATGGTCAAGTGACCAACCCTGAAAATAGGGAGGGTGGGCAGGTGATCCAATGTGCGCAGTAAAAAGAGGAAGCTCAACACTACTCGCAGGGTATTTAAAAGCTATGGCTGTCAATCATGAAATGGCAACATTTAAATCTCCCCAGCAATAAGTAGAGCTCAATGATAATGGTGGCCAACCTCTTTTCCTGCCCAGCAACAGTGGAGTGTCTTGTTAGCCCCCACAGCAACACATGCTCTCCATGAAGGAGAACACGCTTTGGGACTTATTAGCAAATCTGGCATGTGACACTTAGGCTCAGTTGAGAGTAGAAGGGACCAGCTCACTCTACAAAGCTGTTGTTTTTCTTTAGGTGCTGCTTTATCCTATTAATTTTGCTATGCTTTTCATCTTGGGCACTTAGTTCCAAAAAGCAGAGAATGAATGAAGGCACCAATTTTGTCTTTGCCATTTGGAAGATGGTCTGGCCAACGCAGGAAAAGGCCAATGTTCTGCAGGTTCCAGGTTCAATTTCCTGCATCTGCAGGAAAAGGTGAGAGAAGAGCAGTGTCTGAAATCCTGGATTTCAAACTTTCTAGTGATATGGGTGGTGAAAAAGATACAAGAAACTTTCCTTCCATGATCTTCAGTACGTTGACTTAGGATCCAAGCCAGCATCTTTCGTGAGGAAGCCTGTTGATGTCTATATCATTTACTAGAGAAAGCATAAAGCAGAAGTCCTCCTATCTGAGACATCTCCCTCTTCCAAAAAGAAAACATATCAAAATGTGTGTGGGCTTTTTTTGTTTTTCTAGGAGGAGTTACTTGAGGTTTAAAAGAAATGCATCTGCACAAAGAACCATGGAGGGAAGTCTTGTATTCAACTCTTTCCTTCTATATTACTTCCAAATCTCACCTGTGATGATAACAAGCACAGAGAATTTCAGCCCCCACAGATGTGTTACAGAAAATCCAAGTAATACAAAA